TGGAATCCTTGATACATTCCTATTTTCATAATGTTCTGTTCAAATTATTGTTCTTTCTCATATCACGTAATTTCCCTGTACAGTACAATGCTTCTACAGTACAGTACAGATACAAAGGTTTTTACAGTGTTTGCCTTAAAGCACCCCTGGGTACTCATTAATGCTATGTTATTGATTCAGGTGTGGACACAATGAGAAACTATGAACAGGTGCTTCGACAGGTTCGGTATCGTAATTGGCATACTTCAAACATCTTTGACAGAAAGTTTAGGGTGAAGTGCTCTGAGCTGAATGGGCGTTACACCAGCAATGAATTTAATTTGGAGGTGAGTAATATAAAGATGCATTTTTTCACAAACTTCACCCACTTAACTTTGGCAAACCCTATTTCTTTCCTCAAGGATTGAATATCTGTGTGTGTGTGTACATGTGTACACTGATTAGTACATTTTATGCGCTGTAATAAAATAATAATAATAACATAAAAAGTTAAAATGTATCACCTACCATATAATATATAGAACTGTCATGGCTTTAGTAAGGAAAACTGAAAGGGTTTTCATCTTTCATTAATGAGAGGTACTCAGCAACGTCCAATGAAAAGGTGAACTTAAATATGACATTAATATACCAAATTACATTTTTCCCCATTCAGAGTGGAGGTTTAGGTTTCCCTTCCATTTTTCCCCGCTGCTTGCTTCCCACATGCAAGCGCCAATATATTTTTCAAGTTTTATATTCCTGCTGAAATGTTTCACAGGGGAAGCTCATTACTTTCCAGTTTCACTCAGTTTACTTTTTTTAGTAGGCATTACTGCTGTTTTTAGTGCCACCAAAAGTTAGTCATTTGCAATAAGTTAAATGGTACATCCTTAATCTACTGATCAAGATCATCGAGGTGAATTTACTCCTCCTTAATCAGAGTGACCATAGAGGTCAGTTCAGTTTTTTAGAGGAATGAAAGTATCTTATTATCTTATTTTTAGGAATAGTAGGAATTAGTGCATATTTCAACTTCAGAATCAATACACTGCTCGTACATGGTCACTTACCACCAAATCACTGCATATAGAACAGCAAGTTTGCATGCTTTGTCTCACGCTAATGACACTAAATACTGTTGCTTCCTGTGCACAGTAATGTGAGATATTGCAGGTGATTGCAGAACTTAGATCAACAGCCTCTGCCTAGCATCAAGCAGGCTGTTTCAGCATGACCAAGAACATCTTTTCAATTCTGTATGCAATACTATTAAAAGCATCTCACCAGAACTTAATCCACTGTACTTTTTCTTTGCAATGAATTCCATAATGGTAAAATGTATCAAATTAAGATCCCCAGGATTAAACCTTTCTGTTGATTTGCAAAACATACACAGCACAGGGAAAAGGTGTGCAAGTCCCATCCTGTTGTCCTTTCCTGTACCAACAGTAGGACCCAAATCCAATGGGCAACTTTTCTTGTTTTTTAATGATGACTTTATCTTTCTTAACCTGAATTCATGTGGCAGATGTGGCAGCTGTTGTTAAGAGTATGATCAAGTATTAGGCATTCCAAAAGGCAGGCTTTAAGACTAGATGGCTCGAAGTCCCAGTCTAATATGCCAACTTTTCAAGTATATGTTTAATTCTTCATTAGGGGCCACTAAGTAGTTGTTACAAGAAGTTGTAACAACTGTTTTGTTGTGGTTTCCCATTCAGCCATTGCTCCCCCTACTGTTCTGGCAGCAGCAGCAGCAGTAGCTGGGGACCCTGGGCTGCCCCTTGTTTCTCTGGCTTGCACTTCCTGCCCTGATCCCAGGGCAATACAGCCCATGATACCCAGGCAGGAGTGGGAGTCTCTATGTGTTTTGTAGCCCAGTGGTGTGACTTGCATGGGCATGTGGCGTCTGAGCTGCTTGGAAACTGAACAGCCCTGAAGTATGCAAATAGAGTTGGTAGTACTTGATAGTACTTCTTGCTATGGGGTTGGTTAATTATTGGAACAGGCTGCCTAGAGTGGTTGTGGAATCTCCAGCACTGGAAACTTTTAAAAGTAGGTCAGACAGACAATTGTGTGGAATGGTTTAGTTACGAATGATCCTGCCCTGAGCTGGGGGCTGGCCTAGATGGCTAACAGAGGTCCCATCCAGCCCCATTTCTCTAAGTTTCTATGATTCTGTATTTCAGGGGTGGCTACTTCTGTTGTTTTTTCTGATTAGGATCCCAAATTATACTGGCAAAATAAGCTAAATAGTCTAAACTACAGAAAATGGTCCAGAGGTTTGAGAGATTCAATCTGTGTTCTAAAACCCAAATGGTATTTGTTCTGCCAGTGATCAACCCCCTCAAGATTCTGCATATGCTTTTCTTAGCTACTGCCAGGGGAAAACAACTCAACCTTTATTGAGGGCCACTTGAAAAGTTCACTTTCCCTTGGACATCACTAGTGGGATCCATTTTGATTGGATGTATGCTCTCAATACATTTGTAAGAAGGATCTCTCATCCAAGTTAATTAATTGCTCCACAGTGAGGACACAGGACTCACTGGTTTGTTTTTTTAAATCCTTTTTCTTTTAATAAAAAATTATGGCAGAGTACTAAGTTTGCCTTGGTGGGCCTCATACACCCTGCAGTCTGTGTGTTGTGCATAGCTGTTATATGCCTGACTCTATTATCTTCAGTGAAGGATGAACATGACCATTCATTTGGAACTAAATGAAACATTCTATTGTTTCACAACTTAAAACCAAATTCAAATCACTCTTCCATATCTGGGATAGCTCCACAATACTAGGAGATGTAAATATATATCAATCACTTACATTAGTAGATATGACACTGTACATATAGGAAGCTGCCTTCTTGAATAATTGAATACCATTTTCACACAGTCACTTTCCAGAGTAGACTTTGTAGCAGACATCCTGAAGACAGCTGAATAAGAAAAACTGTTATGTCTGAGTAAGTGAATTTACAGAATAATTAAGAAAAGAAAGGGCTTGCCTGTGTCAATTATTGAAAACAGGCTCAAAGGCAGGAAAGTGGACCAGGATCAGAATCTAAAATGTATGTGCATTTGGATAGGGTGTTATTCAGTCATTTTAGAGGTAGAAGTAATTTGCATATTTGGACCCTCCTTAATATTTCAAATTCTATAAATCTTTTGCAGTGTTCAGCTCTGGGCTATCAGTTCCATGCCCTTACTTTTATATGTTGTATGTTAAGTGCTGAAACAGCACACATAATGAAAACATGGATCCTATAGCAGTATAAAAAGGGCAAGAGTCTCTAACAGACTAGAGCAGCAAATATTCCCAGAACAAATACATGAGCAGAGAGATGTTTGGCCTGGAAAATTGTCAATAAAATAAATATGAACCAGTTCCAAAGCTCAAATGCTTTTGCATACCTAAAATTTAGTTCATGCCAAATTATTAAATAAGGGCAAAACTCAACTGCTGCTAGTTATTGTGCTACTGAATTCAACCATGTAGTTTGTTTACCTAACAAGGATAATACAAATACAAACAATGTTATTGTTACATTCCTTGTTTTGGATGTGCAGCTATCAATTTTTGTGCATGAACAACTACTTATAAAGCCATATGGATCTTTCCAAGTTTCCTTGGAAAGTTTGGAAATCATTTTATTAGAATAAAGTTATCAGCTTTGGCATGAATTATGGAGTTAGCCTGAAAAAATCACATTATTCATATTGGAACTGAAATTTAAAAAGTGAGGGCAGTGCTGGACTTAAGCTAGTTTAGGCAGGGGTGGATTTAAGACAATTTCAACCTGTGCCTAGAAGAACTCTACATTCCCAGTCTTTCCCCTGCTCAAGTGATAAAACTACTGATGTCAATAGGACACCTTAGTATGATAGTTATGTACAAAGAGATGGTATTCCTTCAGAGAAAAGAAAAAAGGGGTTTCTTTAGTCTTTGAGTCCATTCAGAACTAACAATAACAAAGCAACTCAATAAAATCTTAAAATAGCCAGGGATAGGTTAGCTGGTTTGGGAAACATCTGATCCTTGTCTCTCTAATCTAAGCACACTGAATTGTCATCTTATAGAGGAGGTCTGTCTACTGTCAAGGATCTGGGTTTTCTGTTTGTAGCAGAAAAATGTGGATTTTCTTCCTTAAAGGAAAAATCAAGGATTTTCCCTTTAAAAGGAAAAAACCTTAGGAAACTGTGGGATTCCCCTTGCAGGCTGGCAGTCTTCTAGGCTGCAAGGAGCTTCTTGGAGCTGGGAGGAGAAGGGGGAGGGTGATTGGAGGCAGGGGGCACCACGTGTGTATGCACATGCACACACACGTGGCTGACATAAAGCCATGCAAGGTGGTGGAAACAACCTTGGCAGCTGGATACAGGTAAGTCTGTGGGATAGGGTGGTTGGAGGGCCAGGGCCTAGGGTCTGGGGGACTCCAGGGGGAGGCGGGGCATATGTGTGTATGTGGAACAGGGGGCGAGTGCCTGCTGGGGCTGGGGGAAGATGTCCGGGTACCTCTTGGCTGCAGTAGGACAGGAGGGCAGAGGCAGTACTTGATGCCACCAGGAAGCCCAGGTTTGTGCTGTTGCCAGCAGGGCCTGCCCAGAGGCACCTGCCCCTCCAGCAGGGGAAGGGAGTGCTGGTGGTGGGACTTTGGGGGTGGCAGGGAGCTGCATGGCTGGGCTGGCAGGGCCAGGGGGCTGTGGGTCAGGAGTGAGGGGCACTGGCAGGGCCAGGGGGGGTTGAGCTGGGAATGAGGGGCAGGGGTAGGGCATCAGCATATTAGGGCTGCTCAGGGCCACAAAGCAGTGTGGGGACAGCCACAGTTGGACCCACATCCTGTTGAGTAAAGGGGGCAAAGGGAGCTTTGATTTTCCACAAAAAAAAAAACAAATCAATTGCAAAAATTTATAGGTATTTAGAATTTATGCTATTATAATGACTGAGGCACTGGTAGGCTTCCAAATTGCTTTAAATTTGTACATATATCAATAAAACATTGTGTTCAATTTTACATATATACTGGCATTTCATTTTAATCATGGAAAACACAGATTTGGGGGGTTTTAATCAGAGAATTTGAGTTTTTTAAACAGAGAAAACCATTATCCCTACTGATGATCACATCTCCCTATTAGATAAGGAGTTTCATATTACAATTCCAGATACAAGGAAAAAATCTGTTGAAATTTTGTATCACTTAATAACAACAGACTCTTTTTTTTCCCCCAGGTTAATATTCTACATAACTCCAACTCTAATTTCATGGAGCACATAAATCATATGGTAGTACAGCCACAATTTCTGCAATCTATTCACCATCCAGAGGAAAGCATAAACAGTATTCATGGCTCAGGTATTAACTTTATAAAAATCACTCATACAATACTTATGATTTTTCCTTGTGGGCGTGTCCAGACAAGCGCACACATGCCTCTTGCAGCATCTCAACCCCCTTTGAGATGCTGCAAGAGACATGTGTGGGAACAAAAAAATGTTCCCCACACTGCAAATTTGCAAGCTGTAGGCACCTGGACCCAGCTTCATGCCGGGGAAGTAGGGGGTTGGCTGGACTCCCTGTTCACTCCCCCTGCTTGCTGTCCCACCTGGGGAGCTGGGGCCTGGAGATGAGCAGGAAAACAAGCAGGGAGCTGGAGATGGGGGGTGGGGTGGGGGAGTTTGGGTGCGGGG